AATCAATTTTCCTAACCCTGAATTGCAATCAATCACCTACAATTTGTATTTAGAAGTCATTGATCCCCACACTTATGTTAACATACCACAAGTAGCTCCCACTGAATTGCAGAGGCCATGACTTTACTTGGTCTGTTGGTGAAAACTGCTTGGGAGATTTCACTGGTGTCTACTTTAGGGATTTTTTATCCACCTCATTTCCCCATACTCTGAAAATAGTATGAATTGATCCTAACATAACTCCTGAATATTCAAAGAGGCCTGCCATTTCCATTGATATACACTTCAATACGGCACATCACACTTTATTCTATGCGCCAAGGATTTGTGGACTTCCTTGTGACTCTGAAAAGTTATCCAGATTTTTGTCTTTTACTCTTCCTGAGCCACCATCTTGAATAATATATGTGATTCCTTTGCCTCACTGAAGGTTCTAACCCAAGTGGGGGAATATACTGTTTTCAGATCAAATTCCTATCTTTGGCATGCATCCATGCACCAGTCCTCCCAGGCATCCAGACTGTACTCAGATCAGTCCTACTGTCACCACTGCAGAACCATCCAAATAATTTGTTGGCACTATGTTTTGTTGCCCACATGGGGAATCTCCCAGTCCCATTGTCAGAGTTAAATTTTCTTAAACCCTTCCAGACTGCTAGCCTTCATTAAGTTGAGACCTGAGACCTGTCACACTGATAGTTGAGTCTAATGATTGACTGATGACTAATGTATGACTCTTCTCAGGCGTCAAAGGCCATAGTGAGAAAGTCAACCCATTTAGGGGAATAATGGGTCATTTGGGGTTGGAAAATGGTTGCAGCCTTTGAAATTTTCCTAACCTAACTGATGCACCATTCCTCAAAATATGTTGACTTTCCTGCTCTTTTGGCTCAAGCATAGAGGAATGCAGCTCTCCTGGTCTGGTTTATAATTTCTCTGAGGTTAGTTTGGGTTTAGTGGAAACCAAAAAGAGCCTATGAAATGTTCGTCTGAGTCTTGAGCCTCAAAGTGATAACATTATCTGTGAGAGAATATGGGAACAGCAATGGTACTTACTGTTTCAACAAAAACAGGCATTCTCAGCTTCCATTCAACATACCCTATCTCCCATATTCTCTATGGAGAATAATGTAAAATCATGGGAGGCTGTAAATCGCTTCCTTTCTTATGCACCAATCACTTTGGAGGACCCCTTTACATCAATTCCAGGTGTTCTTGCAAAAATCTGAGGGCGAGAGCAGTTCTAAACTTGTTTCCAAATTTGTACCTCCTCTGGGTAGCAGGGAATGGAGAAAGCATCACTTTCAACGGATAAACTTAAACAAATGATTTACAGTGTTTTCACTCAAGTCAGATGACACTTTACTTGACATAAGACACTCATGCATGTTATCCTCCCATGAAGCAGAGTCAGAATCAAGCAAATAATTGTCTAACTTGCTTGAAAAATGCTGTAAGAAACCACCCATGTGGAAGATGTTACTACATGGAAAAAATGGATGCATTCCTAATGGGTAGAAGATATAAATTCCATCTAGAGTGTTTTATTTTTCATCCTTCAGCTCCTCTCACTGGTGGCTTTCATTCATTCAATATGCTTCATGTGAATTTATTGGCCCTCATGGCCAACGAGTCTTCAGATTATCATTAAAAGAGCATATGAACAGGAAGTATGCATTCAATTCAAAAAAGTTCCAAATGAATGCATACATTATTAGGAACTGTTACCTGTTTGTTAGCTCAAACATATCATGACCCAGGAAATGAGACCTAAACTGAATAAGGATTCAAATAGGCCTATGATGAAAGTAGGCTATGCTGACAGACTATGACCTAACTTTAGATGTTTTGACAGCATTCTTTTACGAGTACTTCAGGCTTGATCTATGATTGCTAACTTGCTTGAGTTGCCATAGGGCATGCATTCAACTAGAATATCGGCCCCAGGTGGCTTAAGCCACTGATATCCTATTTTGACTGGTCCTTCGACTGGCCTAACGTTAAATCAGGCCTTGTCTAGACATACACGCCGAGGGCGAAGACTAATCTCGTTGCAAATATAGAGTGCAAGGCCTATAGGCCTAACATTCACCCTTTTATCGGCCTAGGTCATAGGTCCAGTCCTAAGGACTCTACCTATGATATGATTAAAGTAGGCCGTGACCGAGTGCAATATAGCCTCGTCTCACTTTCTTCGTCAAAAAGGTCAGAATTCTCTGATAGCATGCCATCATATCACCAATATCTCTTTGGCTAATGGAAAGCCCATGCTTAAGCCTGGCGATGGGGCTTAGGTCTAGGATGGCCTGCGTCCGAATCGGGTCGTCCACATGTCAGCATTCAATACAGATGCATCCCGAAGCCTAAAGATGTCCGCCCCCGATTTGTTTACGTAAGCTAGGTCCACTCTCTTGGATATACGGTACCATTATATGTACGAACAGTTTTGTCAGAACAACGGCGAAGTGTGAAAGCAAAGAGAAGTCTTACATATATTAACTTATCGCAGACCGAGACCATGGCCGTAACATTTCCGCCAGCGGTCATGACACCGTCACCAGGGGCAGCCATAACGAGGATGCGTATCCACGAAAGCAGCCTTCCCATTGGCTCACATTCTGGCACGACCGAGCAGTGATGTCGAATTATCTCATCGGGCAGAAGCGGAGGCGTAATACATCAGGCCTGAATTCGTATTGTGTTTGATATATATTCAACAACATTGATGATACCTCGGGTTTTTAAAGGATTCTATACCTCAGTAAGGAAAGTGTATGGTTTCGCCACACATTGATGCTTGTTCTGATCGTGTGAAAATCTTTTAAGTGAGTTGTAAATTCAGTCGCTGCCCCTAAGTCTCAGGGAAATAGGTAATGGCATCAAGGAATTCATGAACGCTGGATGACGACTGATGATGGAAACTACGAATTTCCGTGACCTCCATGCATCCACAGAACTGAGTTTTCAGGTCATCAGGTCAATTCTTCGAAGATGATGCCATGCTCACCTTCAGTATTTGGTATCTGGGCACTGCTTTGGCATTGAATTCCTACTCCCCCCCCCCCCCCCCCCCCCCCCCCCCCCCCCCCCNTTTGGGTTTGAATTCCCCCCCCCCCCCCCCCCCCCCCCGGGTAGTGGAGAATGGAGATAGCTCTACTTCCAGGAGATCCGCTTCATCAGACAATTAAAAAAACAACGACGACATTGTTAAAGGTGTCACTACTTACAGTGCTCTTATGGGGGGTTATGAATTCAATCCGAAAACAGTGTAGACTGCTGAGGAGTCGCCGGATGTAGACCATGAATACCGTACAAACGGCTATGCTAAGCGGCTGAAAAGTTGCTGATTTGTCAAACGCAATTTATGTGGCTGATTGCTCCCAGAACCAACCAACAAGTTATTCCACTGGCCCTGCTTTCATCATCGCTTTGTGCTCCCGCCCCGTAGACAGGAGCCTCAAAGTCAAATGTTTTGCTTTTCCACTCGTGTAAAATCATGTAGGAAATTTAATGATACGAAATTTGCATCTGGAAGATGCATGATATGGCTGAAACAGAACAATGCAGGTCACCTCCAGAATCCTTTATTGAAGAATCAATGAAGAGCTTTTCGCGCGTTTTATCAACCAGAAGTACTCTTTTCTGCAACCTTTAACCACTGTTGTAAAAGATTATGGAAAATGTACTTGAAATATTCTATAGAGGATGTATTTCAGTACACAAATTTTATATTCAAAAGTGCTAAGCACTGAGAGAAAGTATCATTTAGGGGGGGAAATGCCGCTCACAAGCACTATTAAAAGGGAAAACAAGACTGAAATTGATGCCGTTGACATGAATGAATCTTCTCTAAGGACTCTATTTCCTGTTCGAGAGCTTCTCCCATCTCACACGAGATGCCTCTCGTGTGGAAACAGTGACCTCGTCCCCGGTTTCCCGTTTCTTGAGAGGTCTGACGCCAGGGATATTCACCCGCCTCGTGTCTCACCGAGCAGACAGCCGCGGGCTAAAAGAATCGCCGAGTTGGCTGGAACAGAGCGAACCGACTACTTTGGTTGCAGCACTCGGTCCACTACGCCCAACCCTGGCTGAACGGGGACGCTGCACTCGCTCGGAGGAGGCTCAGTCCTCTCGTTCTTCTTACGGGAGAAGGATCGTGGCGCTGACTAACTCCGATCAGTTGAAGGAGATGCCTGCGAATAAGTGCGAGACGCGAGGCCAGCCGCCAACTGATCGATTGTAGTAATCAGAATTATTTATGTCTCCCCTGTACATAATTTTTTCCTCCTACCGTTGTGTTCGGACGTTCCTCTCGGGATATTTGGATTCTCTAGGTTATCGGCACTTATAAGAGGGAACGATCGAGGGCATCGTGTATCTTCAGCCAATCATTGAGCTGCCGACTGTTCTCGGCGAAAAGGTTGTCCGAGTTAGTGCATTCGTGCCGAAGCCGACGCACCTAGTAACGGAATTCCCAGGAGAATCGATGCTTTGACGCACTTGAAAAAACTCGAATTCCGGCCCACGGTGACGCACCATCGTGCCTGGAATCCATGAGAGCATGGAAAATTTCTTCCCTCTCCCCAATCTCCTAGTTTACCCACGTTATCGCAGCTGAATGCGGGAAGTTCGCGTGACGAAGACCTGACTTCTTCCTACGAGTACAAAGCATTTCCGGGCTTCGTCATTTTCCGTGCCATAAACAGATCAGACCCTTTACAAAGGACATCACCTGACGTTCCCCTTCAAGGAGCTCCACGAAACTCGTAAATTCCCATTACAACATTCAGTGCGAGAGAACTTAGACTCTACATCCGCCCCGCTGCAAGAAACACCACTCCTGTAGGAATGTATTCCACCATTTGAAAATGTAAAAACTCCCCTCGGCCACCTCCCGGTATTCCGTGTCGAGCAGGGCTGTGAAACTACGGCCTGCGAAAGGATCCCATCTGACCTGCTGCGAGATATTCCCATAGATGTGCGACTGAAATCTTGATATCATGGTTCCCATTGACATTGTCTCTAGAGCCGTGCGGTACTCAGGAAGCCTCGGTATTGCAGTGTGTTTGCTAATACCGACCCCTCTCTTTCCCCAATGAAAGGGAGGAAATGGAAAAGGCGGAAAGAGAGAGAAGCCATACCTTGCACTCACACTCCCTCACCCCTCACCCCCCCCCCCCCCCCCCCCCCCCCCCCCCCCCCCCCACCCCCCCCCCCCCTAAGCCATACCTTGCACTCACCCCCCCCCCCCCCCCCCCCCCCCCCCCCCCTCCCCCTCCCACCGCCCAGGCCAGGCCGACGGTCGAAGGGAGCGGGGAGGAGACACACGAGACACATTTGAGCTTGAGAACAGCATTCGCTTCCTTTGGTACTGCTGCACGCGATGACTAAACTTCGGTTCAAAACCTAGGGTGGATTTTTTAACAGAGCACTATCCGATAATGCAGCTTTATTTACTGGATTTGTCATGCATTTTCTCTGAAATAAAGCTGTTTTATCGGATGTTCTGTATCGGTTCAAAAATCCACCTCTAGACTAAGAAATACTGCATTATTTCGGTACCTGAATACGGAAGCGAAGCAGTTGGTCCCACAAAAAGTGGGATTCGATTATGTCGAAACCCTTCCGTGAAATATATTAATATTTTCCGGAATGCCTAATAGTTGTTTCCTTCCTGTCGTTTTGCTCTCTCGGTCCAACAGCCTAAATTGGGATAGTATAATAAAGTGACTCTTGCATACGAGAACTGGCGAGGAGCTTATTCGGAACGCTTTCGACTCCTACGACTATCATTTTTATGAAACAAGCTTTTTCTAGCAGATGGGAATGTGCTTCTGTAAAGTACTAAATAGCAAGAATAGAGAGACGGATAATCCTAGTTCCTTGTGCCTTAGACCTACTCATCGATTCAGGAAAAGTGGAAAAATCCAACTTTCTGAATAATCGTTACGGTAAAATGTATACAAAGCTACACCAATGGCGTATTTGTTCAGGCACCTCGAGCAAAAAGAATCCCGATATCTCCCGAAACGCCATCTCACTGATCCTCGTCTGAATCCTTTTCGCAATTCCAGGCGTGGAAGCCCAAACGCTGACGGTGTGGAAACAAGCCGACCGTTACGGGATCCCGCGTCTCGGCTACCTCAACAAGATGGACAAACGCGGTGCCGACATCCGCATGTGCCTCGAGTCCATGGCGAAGAAGCTCCACTGCCTCCCCCTCTTGACCCAAGTGCCCATCGGCGCCGAGAAGTCCTTCTCGGGTCTCGTGGACGTGGTCGATCTTCAGGTGCACTCGTGGCAGTCGCCTCAGGGCTGGACCCGGACTCCCCTTGATTCCGACGAGTCCATCGCAGACAGTGCTGACATCTGGGACGCCCGGGAGAAACTGGTGGAGTCGCTGACAGACGTCGATGACGTCTTGGCCGAAAGGCTCATCGAACTGGAGAACTCCCGAGCCTTAAGCAATGAGGAGATCAAGGCTGCCCTGAGGAGAGCCACCATTTCCATGGTCAGTGGTCCTGCTCACTCTTATCACTGCTTCACTGCTTCGGCGAAGAGAACGAACTTATTTTTCACGCTGCGAATTCCGTTCATTGTGCGCCTCTCAGTCCGCTATTGGCGTCTCTCGTATGAACTTCTTTTTTAACACCATGTGTTTCAGTACTTTCGAATACGGAGGCGAGCACTGTAGGCATGAATTAAGGCAGACGATAGAGATTTTTGCAGTTTTTAGATATGCACTGGTTACCAGCATAAAACTTACAAATGCAGATACGATTTGATTTTCCATTTGCGGATTGCTGATCGGATGCGGACGCGGATTTAAAATAAACATATATAAAAATATTTATTAAAAAAACACACGAAAGGTCTACACGACGAAATGCAGGCTTCGTCGCCTCATTAGATCTTTCGAAGGTGTTTTTCCACGATTAACGAATCAAGGAATGACTTTAATTAATGACGTCACTGCAATCATTAGGTGAAATCTAATTACGTTACATCTCCTTCTCAGCCTCATTAGCGGTCTGAAATGACCGGTGACTCGTGTATTTTTTCTCAGACGTAATTCTGATAACTCAACCTGACGATTCATCGCCAACGTTACATGACCCGAAAATAGCTATCCACGTGACCTCGGTGGGCTTGACAGACGTCATTCCGGCCGACGTCCTGCATTTTTTAACACCATGCGAAATGCTATTCCGCCCCGGTCGGAATTATTAAGTCATGGAACCCGTAAGTAATGGAACTCATCCCATAACTCATTACTTCATCCCACGAGATCTCACGGAAAGGTCAAAGGGTGATTTTTTGCTCCTACTTTGTGGTCGGTCGTGTATCCTTGCCCGGAATTTAAATCCCCTCTATGATGCGCTTAAGAGCTAATTTCTAGTGTTTACCCATGATTTCGATTTATTTTTACCGCGTTACCATGCTGATGCAAATTTCTCCAAATCCCAGGATGTATTGACTGCGTTTGTCAGCCAAAGACAGATCATCAATCCCAATGACCATCTGTGAATGAAAACTAGAATTAGGAACAGGAAGGAAGGAAAGCCACGTCAGCTCGCGATAATTCCGTTGCTACGTAGTCATGCTCTGTTCCAAATTCGAGGAGACGCGTTGCAGTCACTTTCAGCTGCGTCATAGCCCCCTTCGGGTTTTTTTCTTTTTTGCATTAGCGAACATAACGCCGACTGCTAAGCTCACCAGAACATTCCAGAAAACGGATTCTTTGCTTGAACGCATGGGAAAATCCAAGAGGAGGTCGAAAATCAAGACAAAAAAATATTGAATGTAATCTAGTGCGAGAAAATTTTCGGCACTCGGTCAGTTTCGTTGGCTCATTCATATTCATTCATTCATATTAACTCTTCAGGCGGATTAGCCGTAACTCTTTGAGCCATAAATTACTGCGACTTTTTTTTTATAAGTTGCAAATATATAAATAATTCATTTTACTGACACATTATGAAGCAAATTCCCTGAAAAAAAAGTCCGTTTAAAGCCCTTTCTGAAATCGGTTTCAAAGCTATACCATTTTTCCAGAGACATGCTTCGTGTGATATGAATGGCACGCTGAGAAACCACTTTGGTCCGAAAGCGTTTTGGGGTAATGCGATTAGGCGGGGGAGGTCTGCTTAAAAGGGCTGTTTGCCTTCATTTCATCACGTCGAGCCGGGAATTTCCCATTCGTCCAGAAAAAGATTTTTTTTTTCAGTGAGAAAGAATGAAACCAGGATTTTCTTTGTGAGCAGCCGTCGTGAGAGTCTAATCTCGCGTCGGTGGTCACTAGTGTCAGAAACGCTCGGCTGTCCGATGCATTAATCGCCCCCGGCCGTTCCCATCATTGTTCTCTTCTGTTTCCTCTCGGTGATGGGCGTTAAGAAGGCACCACTTTCGCAAAGGAAACTTGATCAAGATCCAAGTATCACCCAATTGTGCACAGTCGTTCGCGTAGCCAAGGTCACGTTTAGCCAAGGTCACATCACAAAACCAAATGGAGTTTAAGGAGAGCCCAGAGAAACCTGATCGTTGTGTGGTTATTGCTAGATCAGTTAAAAAAGAGAACTATTTCCGTATGGAGTTTAAAAGAACCTGATCGACTACTTTCCCAGAAGAAAGTGTGATGTAGTACTGTATTAGAGGAAAGCATGCGTAACAAACTTCAAAAATGCCAATGGGTTTCATCCTCAATGTGGTTTTGGATCAGTAGGAGCAATGATTGTGCAGGCCAAGCCTCAACAGGTATCGATCGTAACCCAGAATTAGAAAATAATATCGCTCTTGCTCCTGAGGACGTGATATGAAGAAAAACGTATTCGCGTGAATGAATGTGAATAAATACGGTTTATTACACTTGAATAAATAAAGTTTAATACACGAGAATAAATAAAATGTAATAAATATCAAGTGACGGTTCCAGGTAGGAATGCGCGTTAGACCCGTATGTTATGAGAGATCCTCCTGGAAGATTATTTCGTACTGTCGGTGAGAGTAGATGTGCTATTGGGCTTGATTTCTTGCTTCAAAGTCGTGGTTTTGGGCTCGTGAATCATATTTCATGTGTTAGGAATAATAAGTCAACGCGACGAGGAATCGCCTGGGTGATTCCACGTCGAGAATCGATCAGATCAAATCAGTCTGCGACTCAGAAAATAATACCGCGTTAGGGCGTTCACCAGTAAGGACTCTCTTCGTCCACAAAGAATGAGATGAAGTCACATTTATCGCTTCTTCCTTCCTCCCTTCCGCTTCCCAAAGAAACAGATTTGAGGCAAAAGTTAGACAGAGCTTTAAAGAAATGGCACCTCATTAAAAAGTTTACGCAGCCTGGCTCTTCTAGGGACCGGGCAACGTTTATGGCTAGGTACTGTATATCCCTTTACACGAGTAATTTTTTTTTTTACGGTTAGAGGTACTTTCTGGTAAGTCGAACTTCGGATAACTCGAAACGATTTGCCCGGTCCCCAAATGTTCGAGTTAACGAGTTTTTACTGTACATGATGCTGGGGGGCATTTGTCTGGATTGTTGAAAGTCGCCACCATGGGGATGAGTGCTTGCGTTGGGTCCTCGAGGTATGAGAGAAGGCTGCAAGAATTTGTGGGATCCAGTAGGGCTAGAGGGCGAGAGGAACACAAGGCTCTTCGGTTGCATTATGTTTCGATTGCGAGTGGGAGGGGTGAAGTTGCCGTCTGTAATGAGAGGGTGGAGACAAGATGAAACGACTCACCAAGCATGAAAGCTCCGATTTGACCCCCTACGAAAGTCCTCAGTTTCTTCTTGTCCGTCTTCCTGTTTGAGGCGCAAAATTGTGTAACCTGAAAATAAAAACAGGGGATCGAAAGACCTGCCGGGGAACGAAACCCATCAAAGTACCATTAAGCTAATCGGTCCATCGGTGCACCCAGACCTTTATCCGATCTTCTGCTTCATCGCTTAAGCTAGATTACGAGTATAGAGGGACGAGGGACTCCCATTCCCACGGGTTCCTCGGTAGCGGAATCACCGTTGTTCAGGGAGTGCGGTCGAGAATTGGGAATCAATGCGATGGGGGAGCGGGATGGGAAGCATGGTAACTTCGGGAACGTGCCGGCAAGCCTGTTTGCTCTTGTCACTCTCTCTTTCTCTCTCAATTTACTTACATGTCGCCTACGCAACGTTAACGTCAAAGATGGCAATTTTTCATGAATGGGAATGGTTCTCAGAAGCTTTAGTGTGTTCCATCAATCTCAACTCCGTTTGAGAGGGTATTGAGGATCCCTTTGGATCCATCACCGAGACGCAAAAAACTCCATTTCTGTCAGAAACTGTCGACCAGCTGTTACTGTTGCATTCATCACCGGAAAGTTCATGAATGAAATAGCTTCTTTCCCGTACCAGTGCTCCTCGCGCTTTTATCCGTCTCTTGGGATTTATTTAAAGAATACGGTTCTTGGCCATGCAAGAGTCAATTTCAAGGAACGGAGTCACGCATCTGGGAACCAGAGCGGCATGTGAATGAAACCCATGGGAGTGTGAGGGAATGGAAATAGCTAATTTTCCTCGAGAGCAAAATGGAAATGAAAGACAGTCCGGGACCAGGACGGAAGTCATAGCAGCGGGAACGGTGCAGGATTTGAAAGGATGATTCAAGCCCCTCTCTAATTACAGTCAGGTCTCGAACTCTCCAAGTGGCTTTTAAGCTCTAGATTTCATGGAAAGACTCCATTCATGAATGATAGATCTAGGAGGTAAAGACAGGTCTCGTGCTCTTTGAACTCCTTCAACGTGAGCTGAAAGAGTCCATAAAACCCTCCCAATCCACGCCGATCCCGCACCTAGTAAAATATGGGAATATGATGGAACTCACTTTGTTAACAAGAATAACGGGGTCGTCGAACATGTCAGCGTGACCGTACGAATACGCATTGTTCATCCACTTCGCACCAGTGAAAGCGGCATAAAACCAGTCGGAAGAAATTCCGGACACCGAGCAGCTGAAAGTATAGCGACCTCTGTTCTTCGCTGAAACGATCAGAGAAATCGTCTTGCCCAAACCTCATCGCATCGTGTCAGCACCGAATCATGACCTGAGTACCTGGGACTTCGTCGAGTTCCGTCCTGATGATGAGCAGGGGCATTTGTAGTTGGAAGGGCGTGTTCACCGTGATCGCCAGCGACTCCTTGATGCGAAAGGGGTTCGTGGAGTCCACGGGAGAGACGAAGGCCAGGCCGAGGAAGTTATCGCACTTGGGGTAGTAGTTGAGGTATTCCAGTGCGATGTGGGCACCCCCGCTCTGCCCTCCGAGGAAGGTCCTCGAATAGTCCAGTTGTGAGGTCCCCAGGAAGGGTACGAGCAACTCCAGTGCCTTCATCGTCTGTGATGCGGGACATCGTACTTAATATTTTCAGAGGTGGCAGAGTCGCAAATAAAATATCAAGTTTCCTAAGTTAAAAAAAATATCAATAATTAAATCAAAAAGTTCAAGCAAAAATAAATAAATTAGTGACAATCTAAATTCATTATTTCAATCATGATTTGAAGGTATCACGGGTGCACAGTGTAGCAAAATGCTCTAAACATGTTCCCCATCGCATGAGTTTTTGACTTGCTGCGTGCTTACTAGGCAATTTGTGATTTCAAGTCATTATGGGTCAAA